GGTTTCGTCGAATTAATGATGTCGAATTTAAAAACTGCAACATATTACTATTTCACATCGAGAGCCATTTATAGAATTTGCGTATTGCAAACTGTGTAGCGATTTACTGCGCTAAATAACATGGGTTTAACGAGCCACTATACGTAAACTTCAATACGGAGTTGCAACCAACTACTCGACAAGCAAACGCGTTGCAACATTGATCGATTAATTAGCGTTTAATGTCACGCATACGCGCACGCACACACACGCGGGAGAGTAAACACAAAATCGGTAAAACAGATGCAAGTAAACAGCTCTCATTTCGTCGTGCTCGCGAGTTTAGCTTGCATGTAAATATGCCGCCGGTGGCGACCAGCAGGAAAATGTCAAAATTTAGGCATGAAATCGCTTATTCATGTCGCACGGTCAGCACGCCCTCAGAGCGTTGCAGTGTCCATTCCGTTTATAGATGCAATTTGGTCATTTCTGCAGAGCTATGTTGCATGTACGTCAAAGGACATGTAATTGATGGGAAATTATTGCTCCCTCGGCCGTTGCATGTAACTAACTAGCGCGTCTGAGCAAGTAAGGCGACTGGAATATCGTATTGCTCTTTAATTAACACGCCGACACCATTGACGTAGAAACATATTCTATCTGCTGTCTCTTTTAGTATCATCGTCGTAACTTGTCGAAAATACCACAGAACTCGAGCTCGTAGATTAATAATGACTCTAAAAGAAAACGACGGTTACTAGCTGCCGGCAATATATCGCGATAATACCGCGTATGTGTCAATGTCGCGGTCAACGAGAGCTTTTTCGTACTCGCAAAGCTATAACCGCAGTAGCTGAAAAATGGTGTAATATATATGAGCGATATAACACAACTATCTAATAAAACAGCACTACCGATAATCAACAACAAATATAGATAAATAACAATTGGGTAGATAAGTAGATAAACTTTAGATTAAAAAATATAGAGAGACCTTTCTATATTATCTCTCTTTCAATATTTTTTTTCTATAAAAGAAATAAGTACAAATATTATTTCGCGGTTAGATCAATTAGCGTTTTCCATATCGCATATTAGCGATGAAATTCAGGATCCGGGCGTATTGTTTCCAAATCAATAGCTGTAATAATGGACAATCGGTTGAATGACAATTTCCGAATTAATGGATGTACTCTCAGCACTGTATATTGATGTAAATATGGATTTCGTAATCAGCTTATAAACGGAATCCCTGCGAAAGGCAATTAGTACGGTAAAAGGGTCACGTCTACGCGTCCGAATACAGGATGTTCCCTTCAAAACGTTTTAACTTTGTTTCAATATCAAGGAAATTGCATACGTAACGGTTATATAGTATCATAATTCTCTCACACAAACAGGTCTCGATTTACTCCGTTTTATATTTTGCGTTTCATCTCACGGGGCGCAACAAAAAGCCGGGCTGGAAAGGCCTTGTTTAACGAGCCAAGGGTCGACGGTGCACTTTACGAGTGACGTTAGAAGATCTTAAATGCAGGTAAGAGAAGAGAAAACAGAGCCGTTACTGTGCGCGAAAGCTACGATATGCAAAATGAAAGGCTTTTGTACGGTACGGCGGCTGTGCGAGCGATCAAACTTTAACTCGTGATTCTCGAGCACGTTTTGACCTTGTATTTTTTTTCTGGTTGTAATATTGTTCGTATCAAAGAGAGGGATTTAGAAATTATTTTATACTCTTGTCCTATTCAATATATCGCGAAGAATATTTCAATATAGAATATTTCATTTTTACGCTTAACATTTCCCTCGAGAGTATTATATTATGATGAGATTGATAAGAATTTTTCAATAAAAATATCGAATATGCATTATTAATGTACATTAGTGTTTCATATTTTCAAAAAAAATCTTTTTCACGTAATATTACCTTGCGCAACACAATAAATCATATTAGTAGAAATTAAATGAAACATTAAAGAACACGTTAGATATTTAAATGTATAAGTTAAATAAGTTAAAGTATTATATACTCAAATATTTCCACGACCTAATTTAAAATTAAAATGTATTTTACGAACGGCGATATTTTTTTAAATCTTTATGAAAACTCAACCTTAATTCCCTACAGAGAATCTTCTCAAAATTTGTCATCAAATATAAAATTTATCTCGAGTTCTCACACAGAAATTTACTGGTTAATTACTGACTGGTTAATTAATAAGCTAAAACCATTCTTTCGTAACAGTAATTTTTATTCTGTGCAAGCCTAATTAAGAGAGGTTCGGCAAAAATTTTTTTTTTCAATGTAACTTCAATGTTCAGCACCGAGAAAAATTAAATTTTTTCATGAAAAAATATCACCAGCAGAAGAGGCCGTACATTTAGCAAGTCACATTTTCACTCATGAGTAATTCATGTGTGAATTATAGATGTATGCTTTTCATGCATATATTAAGCCCGTCATATTTGATACGCGCAAAAACCGAACTGCTAAATCTTTATATGTGTATATATACACAAAAGCACGTATCGTTTTAGTAATTTACTGCGATCTGACTTTCAAACCGAGCTACCCTGTTATGAGAGAATATATGCTCGGAAACATCTGGAAAAGAAAAAGAAAAAGAAGATGAATACGTTACTACGTATCATCGAGACGGGATGTTTGCATCGATCAGACGAAGGTAATTTCATTCTGATTGGAGTACGTCTAGATGGTTTCAAACTCGTTCGACTCGTAATTTCTCGAGCAGAACGGGGAAAAGATTTCCTGCATTTCCCTTCGCGCGAGCTTGCGTTGTTCGCCGCATTCATCGGCCGACATTTCCAGGTTGAAAGCGTCGTAGACGTGCAATCTATTTTCGAACGTACGTCCCAGTTGAACGACGCCCGGTAAACGTTTGCGTACCGGCCGACAAACACATGTTTGTACTTGGAATGTGACGCGACATAATTACTGCGGTTTGCCAGACTGCGGTCAAGAGGACGGGCGTTATAAATCGGGTATAACCGCGATCAAGGTTTTTCTCACTCAATAATCATTTCAAACCTAATAAAATATTTTTTCTGTGCAAATTTAATTAAGAGAAGTGTGGAAAATCCGATGAAAGTATATAATACGTATTATTTTCAATGCAACCTCTCAGTGCGTGGAAGAAACCGTACATTTAGTAAATATAATAAAAATGTAAATATAATATAAATTGAATATAACAAAGAAAGTTAAGAAGGTGTATAACAATCTATATACTATTTATGTAACAGCTTCTATATTGCGCAAGCTGCATCGACGTATTTTCAGGAAGGAAATGAATGCAGCGAGGAAAGCAAAATGTAACGTGTTTGATGAACTGTGCGGAAATTAAGTAATCGCGCTTCCAGCTTTATGCACCGAAAATAACCAAAGATAAGGTTATGAGCTTTCAAGAAAATGAGAGACGACTGTTTTCTTCAGATAAAGCAAGATAAGTATTACACAAAGGGAACACAAAGCGCTCGTAATATTCCGCATTATTCAGTTAATTGCTTTTATAAAATAATTAGCTTCCAAGTTTGCGTCGATAACACTTGTAACATTAACGTTTTATAATATTTGACCATTTTAATTACTCTGTGTTAAACGAAATTAAACGATGCATTTTTCTTTAAAAAAAAAAGAGGTCACTGTCGTATTCGAATAATATAATTTTCCAAAATCAAAGGTAATGCATGCAAACGTAACATGTAGAACCAGTCTATTCAATCGTATCATTATGTAATTGATATCATCGCGGCGTAGTAATGCGCAACATTAAACGCGCCATATGCGTAGCAACATGTGAAACATGTATTTGTGCATGTCGTGTATCCGCGGGGCTTCATGAACAAGGCAGAATATTCTAATATAACGTAAACAAAATTAACACTATATTCCTCCTACTTCGATCAAACAGCATCGAGTTAATTCTAAATTCAGGTCTGAAACGTGCACGATTCACAAAGGAAACGTTGGTGGTAAACGTTTCTCTCTACTTACACGTGACGGGAACAATTACATTTCACTCGCGGTAATGCTGCAATACGGGTTCTCTCTATCGAAGTTTTGTAGAAATATTTAATTTTTAGTAAGATCACATTGACTTCTCATAGAGAAGTCAAAAATAATTACATGATATTTTTTCTTCTTCTTGGAATTATATTAACAAATAATATAATCTCCATAATTAGATAAAATTATGATAATAATTGTTTTTTTTTTATAAAAAGAAAAATTTAGAAATTCATACCATCGCAACATTTTCTTCTTGAACACAGAAAAAATTTCTTAAATATATAGAAATATTATATTTCTTTTTTTTTAATACAGAATCTTGAATTTCAAAAAAAAAACATGGGAAATTTTCTGCTATTAATTTCACATTTTATATCAGTTAATAACTTCTTTAACAATTAAAAAAGGCTTTTATTGGAACAAGTAATGAATCTGGCAGCCAGTGAATAAATTTGTAAAACCATCAAAGGGTTTATGTTTGATCCGCATGCAGTTGATGAGAAATCACGATGATAATATCATTGCAACATCAACGTGCGCAACCATCACATAGCATACGGTTTCATGTATAATTTCGTGTTTACTGTCTGTAAGCAAATCCAATTCGTCATAATGAAATAATCATTCACATCAAAATAATTAGCGTCCCGGTGGATTAGCGCGGTATATAATAAATATTAGATTTTCCCAGAGGTATATATCCGCGTACAGAATCGAGTCGCAATTGCGTAAACGTATGTTATCTCCGGCTTTGTTAACAAATCGTGTACTCATAACGTTTAACCTGCGTTCGTTGTTTAAATCGTTTGCGAATTTACCCAATAAATTTCTATCAATTTCTATCAATTCCATTATTTTTTTTTACAAACCGGTGCACCGGCAAAAAAGGTTAACACGATGTACACGAGTGATCGCCTCGGGCGCGCGGTGCTACCTCGAAAACACGGATACAATATGGCACAGCAGGAAATTCGATCATTCAACTACTCACTCTAGAAAGACCTCGGATTCGCTTCGGGGCAACACCAACCTCGGCAATACGATGGCCTTCTTGCGCCGGTTCTTGAGCGTCTGCTGGGCGAATTGAAACTCCGATGTCTGCAGGGGCGAATGCGGGCTCAGAATCGTGATCCTGCGGTCGCTACCGCCTGGACTGGTCAGAGAGAACACGCTGGTCGGCGGCGGCAGGCTCAGGTGTTGCGGTATCTTCCTCTCCAAACCGGTGTTGGCGAACAGACCGCGCCTGACCTCGGCGTTCAAGCTCTCCTCCCGATGCAGGTTATCGCTGCTCTTTGACTCGACCGTTATCCTGCGCACGTCCCTCGTGGACGACGTCAGGAAACTTCTGTAGTGAGTCTTGGAGGAGCCTACGTGCGTCTCCGAGGACGACGACAGCGACTCCATCGACTTGGAGTCCTCGCTGTAACGATCGTCGGCGCTCAGGAAGTTCCTCGACGATCGCAGGCTCTCCATCGATCTTGCGGTCACCTGGCTGCTGACGCCGCCGGCCGTTAACAAATGTTGCTGTTGCTGACGTTGCTGTTGAGTCTGCAACCTCGAGATGCTCTTCACCTCGGGTTCGTATTCCTCCTGGCTGGAGCTGGACTGCGGGCTGCGATTCGTCACCGTGAAGAGGCCCACTCGCGAGCTGTCGCTCACACGGAGGGACGATACCGTTGTTTTTCTACGCAGGAATTCCGGATCGTCCGGAATGTCCAGCGAGTGACGGCACTTCTCGTATAGCTTGCGCGTCTTAACCGACTGTCGCGACGCGTCCTCGTCTTTCGGCAGGTTCTCCACTTCGTTTTCGGACGCGCACTCCATCGTGTCGGAATCCTCGGCCGACTCTTGCCCTCGCAAGATCTGCTGGCTGATCTTGGAGGTGAATTTCGACGAGCTGGAGGTAGTGATCTTTGTGGAGAGTCGGTTCACCAGTGTGACCGTTTCACGCAAGTCCTCGGTATCATCCTCGTCCATCGTCACAGAGACGCTAAATTATTCAGGAAACACAAAAGCTGTTGCGGTGAAGAATAAGAAACAAAGGCTTCCTCCGTGATAAACGCGTGATGTCGCAAGGTTGTCAGAGGATTATTTGCAAACGGTTAATTCGTCAAAAGAAATAAACTCGTCCAAATTATCAAATTTTCAAAGAGGATGCGTTCACGATTCCACGTGAATCTCTTCGTCGTCAGATCGGAACGCACTGTTCTCGACACTTCTCTTCTTTCGATTGCATTGTGCGTTCCATCTACGCGATCTTGTCGTTTAACAGCCAGCAAGCTGAAAATCAATGACATCTGTCAAAATTTTTGGCATAATTTTTTTTAGTTGGAGCACTTGGAGTCACTTTACTTCTTGCTTTCTGCCTTTTTACTTCTGTCAATTGCGCTAAAAGTTCTTAACAATGACGTCACAGAAAATCCATAAGCAATACATGAATATTTATCAAACGTTTTATTATTGAATCTATTGCGAATTTCATTTCTATAAACTTCGCTTTTACGTCAACGCTATATTTTAAAAACGAATATAAAAACAAATTAACGAATATGTTTTCAACGTTAAACATTGTGCATGAGGTCAAAGGTCAATAACCGGATCACTAAGATTAAAGCGTCCAAAAGAAAATTGGACTATCGACAGTTTACGTTTAAAAAAACATTTACTGGATGTAAATTCATCGTTGCTGCCTTTGTACAACAGCGAATATTTTTTTCAATTACAGACGAGTTAATTGGCTTCAAACTAAAATCCAGTTATTTCTATGTCGCATATTCAACCGAAATTATATAAAATAATCGAGTTTATTTGTTGAGAATATTTGCTTTTTAAATTTTATATTTTGAAAATATCCCAGTTTTCAAGAGATTCAAAAACATTTACATATTGTATTTTAATCTTTTCACAAACAAAACAAATAAGTGATATTGTTTTACGCAGTAAAAGTTCATAATGGCAATCTAGTAATCTAACTTTTTACAAAGTGCGAGAATATTAAATCAACTTTATTTGTATCCAGAATAAATACTAAATTTTGTGATTATATCAGGAGACACGGTAGTAGCCTAGTGTCAAGTATTTAAAAAAAATATATATATATATATGTATATTCTCGACGTTTGATTCATAAATAACAGCATAAATTTATGACTTAAACTCGAGTATGTTTTCAAATATTTGCCTTATTATATAAGACACGTGTGGAAAGAAAGCAAGTAAGAAACATTTAGTAAATTAAACATGAGCATAGCAACAATGATTATTTTTATTCGCGCATATAGGTTCAATTTTTCTCGTGACTTGTCTAAGCGGGCGATCATTGATTTTCTTATAAACCCAATTAACAGAACGATTGTAATCCGGTTGTAATTAAATCGTTTGCTATCGACATCTCTCTCCCATCTCTCTCTCTCTTTTTTCTTCCCCCCCCTCTCTCTCTCTCTCTCTGTCACTGTTTCTGTCTCTGAGCGTCATTTCTCTTTAGTCGGAACATTTATAGCTTCCGCAAGAGTTACTACGTCCACCGCGAAATTCGCGAATTAAAGCATCTATACGGGAAGGCATAACTTTCCGGTCTCGAAAGCGTCGCTTTCAAGTAACGCGCAATTGGCGCACAAACAAGAATTCGATACAAGCTCGCAACAATGGCCACCGATAGAGACAATAGGTACAATAAGCGCTGCACTGCGGTAGAGTCGATTCGATTGCATCCTGCTTTAAGTCAAACGCTACATCTGGCTTCAGCATTTGTATAAATGAGAAACGATCGGAACACTTTAAGCGGTAGCTGGCTCATTTGTGTACCCAGTACTCGTAGAAATTACAGTAGCGAACTATCTTCTGCGTCGGAAAAAGGTATGGATAATGTCTCGAATACGTTCCCTTCTATCGCCGATATCTATCGCGTAAAAATACATATCGCGCTTATGTCTACGCCAAGAATTTTCCCTGCTTGTTTCGGAAACAGGAATTTTCTAGGTCGAGAGAGTTTTTCGCAATTTTCATGTTTCCAAGCAAATAGGTAACGCGCGCGTTCCGGGCGTTACTCACATGAACAAAGTAATTCGCGGTATTAAAGGTCGCGTAGTTGTTGCGGCATGCAAATCGTATTAATTAATACATGCGGGACGCGCGCATAAATTATTTCAACTGGCCGTAAATGTAAACGCTATAATCAAGACATGACTATTACGTAACGTAGTCTAACACTAATAAATTTATTCCACACGTTTGTCATGTTAATTGTACTGTTCACATTCGAATAATGAGTAATATTGAGCGAATTGAATCACCGGTTGCGCCGATGACGCGAATTCGACAATAAATATGACAAATGTGCGGAATGCCGAATATATCGAATGCGACGATCTTTCCTACTGCGATCGTGTGCCGTAGCATAACAATTCGACGATTAATTTCACATCTTCGAAACAACTTCTGTGCCGATTACATCGCGCCGGAAGTCAATCAAACGGCCATTCGACCTCGAACTTTCTACTAAAGATTAAAAATCGAATTAAAGAATGGAATAATGCCGTTAAAATAAACGGAGCTTCTAAAATATTACAAAAAAATGATAAAAATAATAGCAATCATAAGATATGCGTGTATCGCACTGCATATGTTTAATTTATTTTTCTGTTAGTTAAAGAGGAATTTCCTTTAACGAGTTTCAAATTTAAATTCTGCTTGTGATACTTTTACGAGCAAGTTTTTCTGCATCGTTTCCATTATCGATCTCTATACCGTAACGACATTGGCACATCATAGTTAATCCGTTTACAGAGATATTGATCTACGCTACGACGTGTTAAGAATTACTTACTCTAGCGATGCGGAAAGAACGCCAATACGCTGCCGCTTCTAGCAGATCGGCCGGTTAGTAATATAGAGCCAAGAAATTCTGCCAAATATTTGCGAAATTTCTAGTCAGTTATATCAAAGTACGACAGGTAAAAACGACCTTCGTTAATTTAACGTCTAAAAGCGCGCCCAACTGCCGTTCAACATTTAATATTTGATAGTCCGTGACTGAAACTTCGATATTAAAGTTCAACGTGTACTTGAACTTTTTCAGCTATCAAAAAGAAAGCACTGAATAATTTTTTTAATTACAATTATATGCTTCTAAGAATTAAATGCTAAATTTCTTTATTGAACGTTAAAAGTTTATTTTTGAAGACCTTGACTATTTTACGACGTATCTTCGCATTTCGATATTAGTGTCTCGTAATTTTAGCTCCGTTTAAGTTTCAGCTTCTTCGAAATTTTCAACGTTTTTCTCATCTGCGATCTTGACACATAGCACCGACATTTAAAGGAGATTAGCGCGACGCCGTGGTCGTGATGGAAAAACAGTTCCCGTAATCGGACTCCGTATCGTGAAAGCGCTATTTTTCCGGAATGATCTCTTATTCTAAACTATCAAGGACGCCCACGTTGGGACCGTTCGAGCATATCTACGCGGCAGATTACGTGGCCGATTGCACGCGAGGCTTTACCCAGCATTTTACTTATCGATCTCGCGATGCATAGCGGGCTGCGACGAAATCATCGGCGATGAAAATCTGCACAATACAATTTGCTCTCGGAGTATGCGCTTATTGTCATTGCAATGAAATTCGAAAATTGTCGGGAACGCGCGGTTGTATTCGAGATATATTCCACTGCGTATTCGTATATATCAACGCAATCACATAAAATATTATAGGGGTTCTGATTTAATTATACGTCTATTAACAATATTAATAATTATAAGCATGTAACTCGGCAAAGATTGTAATTGCAGATTGATTACACGTCTATTAAGAATATTAATATTATATTATTAGAATCAATATTAAAGAAAGAATATTTAAGCATGTAACTCGGCAAAGATTGTAATTGATCACATGTTTGAGGAAGTTATACGTATTACTTACTTGATAACCAAAATGTCAAAACTATAACTAAAAAAATATCACAAATAGTAATGTAAAGTACATGTATTAATAACTGCACGTAATGCACGTAATGCACTGCACGTAATTTTATATTAATATTTATGAATTGAGCAATTCGTAAATCATGATATACATTTATATTATAATCGATGGAGAAAAGAAATACTTCGTCTAAACTTTAAACTGAAAACGCTGGGAGAAGCAGTGGATCATGAACTGCTCCTAAATCGTCACATAAGCTGCAGGGAGAGAATCGCATATAGGCTGCAGCCTCCTTTTATAATCAGAACACGTACCGTAATCAGCCGCGACAATCTCATCCCGGAAAATAGGTCGTATCAAATTCAACGAACTAATAGGTCGTATAGAAATTTCTGGGGACGCGGTAACCTTGTTCCCCGGGCTTAAATGGATAGCCGACCTGGTGATTCCACGACAGTCACGATTTGTTGATGACCACCGGCGCGAAATCGCTCGCAGTGTGCTTCGCCACCCACGCGAGATACACAGGGCAAGGCTACACTTCACCGGTACAGGGGGAGGGGTGGGGAAACACGCCACTTCCGGTTGGATCCGTTTACCGGGCCGCTATATAACAGCCTCCTCATCGATTCCGGCGCGACGACGCCACCAGCTGGTGCGCCCAGATTAGGGGAAACGTCGGGTTCTAGGTCAAAACCAACTAGGTTCGTCCTTTCACCTGGATCCATCACAATGCCACGCGATTTGGCCATTTCGGTAAACCATAAGGCACTTCATTTCGAGTATATCTCTACACATTTGAATAGGATTGATGCGAGAGCGGATTCGCTTTGTAAATATTACCTCAACGGTAGGAACGACAAATCAAACTCTCTCCCTGCAAGTAGCTTTCTCTTATCGAATTATAACAGAGAAATATTATATCTTCGATTTTATATATTTTATACAATATTCCTTCGTGACATAACGAGTGTTCTTTCTGTACAAGAATATTTTACATAAATATTCTATCGCTATAAAAATAATTTATAGTCGGCAAATGTTTTCTTAAAGAATTTCGTTAGCGATACGAATTTGATTGATAAGGGGATCATCTCTATATTTTTTGTGCCGCTCGTTAAAACGGAATTCTAAGATCCGCGGATTAGTTCAACTTCTGTGTATATATAGCAACAACGAAACTACCGAGACCTATTGGAAACTTTGCGTCGACGCAAATCCAAACAGAAAGTTTCGCGGCTGACGGAATATCTATCTCTTTGCAAACGGCATGACGGATGTTTAATGTCGCTTTATATTGATGGCGACGGAAATGCACGAGAGAGTTAAAATTCAAGTTTCTTATATACCAACGGA